TTTTCAGGTAAAAATATTAAGTCAATGTCCACAACAGTTATACTAACAGGCTTCTAGAGTAGGAGAAATTATAATGGGAAGGGAGTACATAAATATAAAATGATCGATCACAATTATACATATATCTTATTTATTGTATTACGCCGTGCTTATAAATTCTATAATTCATACATCAAAAAGATTGTTTCAAATATCGGGATTCCTAATAAACAGAAAAATTATGTAAGAAAGGAAAGTATTATCGATGTCCGGGAGAATTATATTTCAGTTTGTACATACTTGAACTAATTGCGTTTACGGTTTCCACAACTTTAAAAGACCATCTTCGCTGTAGGAGCATAAAAGGTTTTGGTGAGGATGATGCGTCAAACCTATGACATCTTTTTCGTGTATCTGATAAATAAAATAGTAAATTTGCAAAATGAGATCTATTGGCTTGGCAAGAACGGAATTTCAGATATAAAAATGATAAAAGAAAAATATGCTTACGTTGAGAGTTCTTTCCAGTTTTCCGGAGGATGTGGAGAAACAATAAAGGACAAGATCTTCGCCGACGCAGTAAATGAACTCACCTCGAGGACTTACCACGGTACACACGAAATCACCACCCTCTCTTTTACCACTCGAGAACGATCTAACTATTTGCCCTTGCATGTTCATAATTACCACAGTGTTCGAACGATTGCACACGACGAAATGTTCGGGGTTTCGCGGAAGAACGTGTATACTATTTACAGTTAAATCGGCAGCTCCTAAAGATTTATAAGTGCCTATGCACTCTGTCGTCTTTAAACTCCAAACTTTCACGGTTCCATCCGAAGACGCGCTAATCATTTGAAACAACTATCGTTATCGTTGAAAGTTTAAATAAAAGAAATATCGTACCTTATCACGTTGTGTCCATCCGGGGCGAAGACTACTTCATTTACAAAAGAAGCATGTCCACGAAACTCTTTCAAAGTCTTACCAGACTTAAGTCCATGTATCCTGCGAACCAAGAAGCTTGGTAAATAAGTATATATGGGGCGATAGTATGTAACAAATAAATAAATTAATTAATACCTTATAGTAGTATCGAACGATGCGGATAAAATTTGGCTATTGTCCCTGCTGAACTGGAGGCACGTGACACCTTTCGAATGTGCTTTCTCGAATCTTCTCAAGCACTGCCCGCTCTGAACCCTCCATACTTTTATCTTTCCATCTTGTCCACCACTGGCTAACATCTCGCTGTCGCGACTGAACGCCATCGATAATACTGCTTGTTCCATCATCATGAAATTGTCTTGAGCTTGGTATTTCAAGTCCTTTCTGATTTTACCAGTCGTGAAATTCCACACTTCGATAAATCCATCGACCGATCCAGTGACCAGGTATTGACCGTCAGGTGAAAATCGTGCGCATTCGACGTGAGATTTCTGACCGAACTTGATTTGCTTCGAGAGTTGCGTGGGATATTTTTCATCCTCTTGATCCCTTACTGCTGCCTTTCCTCTGAACAAATCTATCGTTGTACCAGGAGGAAGTAACCCCTGGTGCTGTTGCCATTTCAATGCTTGTCCTAAGAGCGCGAGTAGCCTGCTGGAAGGTACGACAGATACCTCGCCAGCTAAAGCTGTAGCTATATAAGCCCTTCTTTTTTCTTTTGTACTTCCATCAGGATATGCCTCTCGTGGATCAAAGTACGAACGTGCAAGTAAATTTTCTATGAAACAAAATACATATAATCTATTTGCATTCTTTTGACAAGAGAAAAATATGGTAACCTTAAAAAATCGTTTGCATACCTAAATGAATATATCTTTCAGGTTCCTGTTGTTTCATCATTATCATAGGATCTGTTTGTCTCAACAGTGATCGTGCTGCTCCTAATTCTCTCAGTTCAATCAATTCCAGAACGACCTAAAAGAAATTGGATTTATTAATATTAAGAAAATAAAATTATATTTTCTAAGTGCAATGAGAAACCTGTTCATATAAATCAATGAGCTTCTTATCTGGTAACTTTAATGACTGTATCGCTTTCAAAACAGTGTCCCAGTGTCCATTGTTTATATCTGCTACAAAACCATCCACGCTGTCTACTGTATTCAATGATACTCCTGTTTCTTCCTATAAGTGATACACGACACAATGAATCACAATAGTAATAAGTATAGATGAAATGTATTTGTCATTGATAGTAAATAATGTACCTGTAACGTTTGTAATGTTTTCACGAGATTTGATTCTTTAAGGTACTGTTGTATCAAACGAATTACACTGAAAACAAAGAAAATAGATAAATGATAGTGATTAAAAACGCTGGCCACAGTATTACTCACTCCGCAGATTCAATTTCAATCGACATTTTTTACAGCCCTTCAGGATTCAAGTACTCAAAAGTAGATACATTCGATCGAGAATGAAACACAGTGATTAGGTTTGATTACGTTTATTTCTTATAAACAGAATGCAACAGAATGACAGAATGTAGACGATGCAATTTGCATAGCTATGGACTATGGGGCATGGGGGAGTTATGGCAGTTATGGTTGCTACAAAAGACTAAAGGGGGAAGCAGTTCTCGAGTTCAATCAGTTCAATGGTGGTGCACTCTACAGCTGATCATATCGAGACCAGCCTCCCCAGCTGTTGGTTAATGTCAGTGTCACTTAAATTAGAGGTTAGAGTTGTAGAAGTATGAAAACACCGGAAGAAAGAAAAAAGATATTACTTTCCATAGGTATATATGAAATAAAAATATAAAAGACGTAGTGGTGTAAGTTAGTTTATTTAAAAGGAGACCAGATATACATTATATCCGTTTCTTTTTACTTTTATTGATTCCACTGTGTGTTGCTTCTTAAAAATAAGTATACAATCTGAATGTTTAATGGAAATAAATGTACAAGGAAATTATCGTTATGTATTACTTGATTGAGAAATTAGTTGGTTCTCCGCTTGCATGTAAAACTGTTCTCCGAACCATTCCCTGTGCATTTCTAAATAACTGCGACATACAAAGATAAAATTTCATTAAAGTCAAACTGCTTAATCGTATGCGAAAGAAAATATTACCTGAGAAACATATCCAAATATTTTAAGAGAACCTTCAATTTCTTATGCGGTATGTCCGTCAGTTGAAGTAGCTCCGGTAACTTGACTGGAAGAAATTATGTTTTTAAGACCAATTATAAATTACAAAGCAGTTCTCTTAAAACTTTGTAAAACGATCATTGCGTACCGAAGAGTCGCGTTAAATGAATGGCACCGTAATAAGTGGACGGGTTCGGAGGAGAGCCTACGGATTTCGATGATTCCGGCATTAATCTCCATTTATTCGATTGTTGAAGCAAGGCGTTCACTTGCGCGGATGTAACGAACGGTATTCTCAACGTTACACCGCGTGGGCTAGAACAACGAGAACTTGTACTTGCAATACTAAAAAAAAATATCAATCGATCGTCAATGTTGATTGAAAAACGTGCTATATTAAATTTTAAGCTGTGGCTTGAAACTTACCTCGACATGTTTCCTGTATCCTGTTTAATCTCGTCGTACGATCTTAACTGTCTATTCTCATCGATAGAACTGATCCTACACGATCTCAGTCTGCGTCTGAAATTTGCCACCGATTTTGATGTATCTACTTCTTGATCGTGCTCTTGAAACGGTGGCAAATGAGCATATTCGTTGTCCTCATATTCTTCTTTAATCGAAATCTCCGAATGCCTTTAAATCGCATGAATCATATACAGTGACATATTATTAAATTATATTACACGTTTGACAGAAAACTTACTCGCTGGGCTCCTCTTTTACCAGAATCGGATGTTCCGCGTACAAGAAAGAAGATTTTAAATTACAATACTGTTCTTGTTCTTGCCTGTACAAAAGGAGATCGTGCAACGTGAAGTCGAAATATATACGTAAACCATCGGCAACCTCCCTACATATATTTATATCGTTAACTGTTTTTTCTATTGTATTATTCGCTTTGTTTCTCTGCGGTTTCTCCGGAATATTCGTCAGCTGTGTCGTAGTGAAATGTTGTACCCACGATTCTAAGATATTCCCGACGGTAGGTTGCGCGGGAAGGACAGCGAGCTGAAATCATCGTTCTCAAATTTTATATTCCACTTTCCCGATTGTCAAATCAATTAAGTACAGCGTTGCATATTTAATTCAGTTGCGTACTAGCAGCCCTGATTAGGTATACCTTGTTTTTACGTGTTATCAGGTCGTGATCTTGGTCCAGAATTCTTCTGAGAGTAGTCCCTATGTCGAGATCAATGCCTGGTTTTACGCTCGCACCTGACTGACTGCCACCTCCGCTATCTTCATCGTCGCTCGTTTCACCAACGTAATCCGAGCTACTTTCCGTATCCTCTTCAGTAATTATTTCCTTCGTTATTAAAATATAAACGTCATTGTTATTACAGTAAAAATCTATTGTTAGAGATTATATGTACCTCTGTGTCATAATCGGCATGTTGTCCCGAACTGCCGTCTTCCGATGATCCCGTTGTTGCAGACGTTGCTCGACTTCCACCGCTCCTAGCTCTTCGCCTTGGCTCTTGATTTTCAGTTTCGTTCAAACGCTCGGACAACTTATGACTTCTCTTTTTACGTTCTCTTCTGTACAAGTAAGCTCCCCTGTTTAAATTCACGTATCATTAAATGTCCACACTTTATAAGTAAGTGAGTAGAAATTGTGTCATTTATGATATATCATGTTTACAATTGTAATTGAGCCTTCTGAGCTAAATCTCGTTGCAATTGACGATTCTCTTCTGTATCTTTTAGTACATATTCCTCTGTTACACAGCGATCCCATGAAGAGTTCCATCCCTATTTAACGATCAGTTGCTTTGAAACACTTTGAGAAGAATTCGTATACCAAATATTCGGCAGGAGTGATTAATACGTACTTGGAAATGTATCAAATATTCAACAGCTTTGCGTCCCCTCTGATCTTTGTTGACTATAACATCGAGAACCTACAATTTCACGAGAATCAATGAAGAGATGCTGAGAAATCTCTGTTTCCTTCTCGAAATTTTATGTCTACTTGTCAAATACCTTAGAATCATACAGTACTTTGGCTTTCGTCGGATCCGGTTCGTAACAAAGAACTTTCTCACCGTCACAAAACTTGAATTTCGGTCCTCGGGTAGAAACCATACCTTTTCGTATGTTATTACCCGATCATGAATTTTTAGAGTAAACACTGATATTGAATAAAGTAACTGTTTTTTAAATAAACATAACCCTGAACAGTACTCTTAAATTCGACAGGCGAATATATTCTTCACCCCTCTGGCTAATCTTTGTTGATACTTGAAGGTAACTAATAATTATTTAATGCAATACATTTTAATGATAACGTAGCCAGAAATTTGATTTTCTCGTAGATCTGACGAACCCAGTAAGAGAAGAACCAAGAAACCCTGGCGACCCTAACCTTAGCTAGATATAAACATAAACATATGCGAGAAGAAATCATCAGGGGAAATAAAACGCACTGTTGTCATAACAACAATTTTCCAGCTCAACAAGAGAATTTTTTTTTTAAAATAAGTACACACGTAAATCAAGACGATAATAAGCAAAGTTTGCGAAATATATAACTCATATTTTCTATAATAAGTAGGTAGGTCGATGAAGTAAATCATCGTTACATTACCGATAAAATAGTATTATTACCACCAGAGATTACCATCTCTTCCCAGTGATAGTGCTTAACGTGTTGAAAGTCCTGAAATTTATTCAAATAATTTGAAAAGAATCGTAAAGCCGGGAACGGCGTGCTTTTAAATTTTGGCGCGGGGCCCTAGCCCGCCAAGAGTCTGCCATGCGCAGTCCGAGATCCAACGGCGGCCATGATGCGTATCCCCCACTCTCCCGACACTTGCGTTAGTCAGTTGTCTCTTGTGCATCGTGCTGGTTGGTTGTGTCCAGTTGTGCCGGCTGGGTTTATTTCGTAACAGTAACATACCGGCGTCTGACTTCGATCTTTAAACCCTTGTACTCTTATAATTATCACCACCGGCTTAGAAACTTGTTCTGACACATTTAACACCTAACGTAAGTGTTATAACTACTGTTCTTTCACTATTATTCCGAGAATTTCGCTATTGATTCCGATTGATCATTACGCGTTTGCTCGACTACTTGTTGAACGTTTATGAGACACATTGCTTATATTTTAACAAGTTTTCTGTACATTCTTTGATGATTCACGACTTTAGTCTTAGATTTCGATATCGTTAATAGATTTTATCTTTATACAGTCGTTTTAAATACGCATTTCCTTTGATTTTGTTTGACCAGATTCAGAGAGAAGTTGGCGCAGTGACGATGCTTGGCGCGCAATTGCAAGTCGATAGGGCGTAGATCGATATAATCGATCACATCATTCTGACTCGTTTGCACAATTGGCAAGGTACTGTGGTGTTCTTTCGCATATCATTAATTAATTTCTCTTTATTTCTACCCATTGTTAATATTAATTGTGCTTCGCTTCCAGATTATTATTCTTTCAGGTTTTTCTTGTGACCGCGCAATGCGGTCTTGTGTTAGAATCAGTGTTTGCTTCGTAATTATGTATTTTTCTTGATTTTGTGGCCGCGCGCAATGCGGTCGTAGAGCCTTGCTTCATATTTGCATTATAGTTTGCAATTTTTCTAGTTATTTAGTCAATTTACAATGTCATTTCCTATTTCGTAATTCTGTCTTAATAAATGTTATCGCGAAATCCGAGTCAGTGTTTGTTCGTCGATTAGAATTTGAACGGGCATGTCTATAGTTATCTAGTCATTATCTTTTTATTCTTGTCTTGTCCTCAAGAAAGAAGGTAGCGCGAAGAGAAGGCATTCTTCGGTGGGCAGCAATGTAAGCATATTTTCATGTTCTATCATTCGATCTTTATCTTTTGTTCTTAGTCGAATTTACTCGAATCGAATATTTTCGATGGTTATTGTTGAAATTAGACGTAGTTATGTAGTACACACTCATGCGTTACCCCCTCCTCCCATATTTTCAGAACGTGCCTGTCCAAACGTGTTTTGTTTACGTTCGGCGCGTAGAAAGAAAAGCTCCGTGTCTCACTCTTACACATTTACCTCACCTTTCCATACCTCTCACTTCTTTCACGACCGAAACAACCATGCATTATTGTGTTTATTGAATAGTTGAAGTATAATTACAAGATTTTAAGGACGATTTTACTTTTTTTGCAGGGGTCTTATCTCGGTTGCTCCAAGAATATTCGGTGACCGCGCGCAATGCGGTCGGTAGACTCAGTGTTTGTTTCGTAGTAATTTTTAGTTGATTTCAATTTCGATTTCGAATATCTTTCAGTCAATTTCGACTTGATTCATTATATCTTCTTTTCTAATTCAATTTTATAATTCTTGATACATTTAATCGCGAAATTAGAGTCAGTGTTGTTCGCCGATTAATATTTCTTTTATTGCTATTTCTAACATTCTCAAAATGGTCATTCAGTGTTATTAGAGTCGCGCGTTTAAAGTCACATCAAGAACGAAGAATATAAGAGATTATGCGGTACTCCTCGAGAGTACAATGTAAGTATCTTCGCATTTTTCATTTCAAATAACTTTGCTTCCTAATTTTCACCAGTTAAATCGTGAATAGAATTTAGTAAATTTGATTATAGCTTCGTCTTTTGATTACAATATTGGAAATTCGAAAAATGATTGAATAAATCATAGCGCTTCTTTTCTTTTTAAGTTGTTACAGTTTTCATCTTTATTCTTCTTCTTCTTCGACAACCGGCGGATGGTTCCTGACATTCCTCAATTTTGGGGTGGCCGAAGCAGCATCAATCGAGGTTTTCATCATCGGTGAGTCGCATGCTTTTAAGTTCCTCCGGTCATGTCGTAGGACGAAGGGTCCGAAATGGTACGGGTGACTGGTTGTACTTTTTAATTATTTCATCTTCTGAGTATTTATAATATTATAAATGCTCTGAAGTAGCATATTTCATTTATGTGTTCATATTTCATGTATGTGTTCGTATTTCATTTATGTGTTCATATTTCATTTATGTGTTGGCTCAAGTCAGAGCTTCTTGTATTCGCGATTTATTTCGTATTAATGAGAACGAGAGTGAGGACAAATATTTTATTGGACAATAGAAATAGAGTAAATTGATACATAGTTATTGCATGGTCAGTATGATTTCATTTTAGCATGTAGGGTGTAGTCGTGAAGTTGGACGTCCTCGAACCTCGTGTCTGAGGAATTCTCAGATTTTATTTGAAATTACTAAACTATAGAATACGTTCTCAAGTTTTAATACACAATGTGTTATTATGAGTAACAAATTAAATAAATACTTAAAATGAAAAGTTGATTGACTCTCGTTCTCTCATACAATTCGTTAGAGTAGCGAATTTTGGCAAGCGATTACAGGTCACCGGTACGTACATACCTTAGGGTGTGAATCTGTGTATGCTAAGCTCGGCTGCGGAGGCGTCCCGGGACGCCTCTCTCAGGCCCTTGCATCCGAGTATCATGAGAGTCCGTACGTACCGTCGTGCCGTCTGATTCTGTCGATTTGTCTGTCTTACCAGTTATAAATATAGGAGTATAGAGGAATAGGCAATCGACTGATATAGAACAAATCATCTTTTTTGTATATATCTTTATTACCAAAATATGGTACAGGCTGTTCGAACCGTGTCTGTTTCAACACAGGAGAAGAATAGCGCATTATTAGAGAAAATTCTCGTGTCTTTATTTGTTCACTTGTTCCAACATTCATACGATTTAAATTATTGTATTGAAATGAAAATCTGTGATGCGTGTATGTTGTACATTCATTGTACATACATAGTAAGTGATGTAGATATAATGAAAGAAAAGATGAAGATAACAGTAACGAGATTATTATACATATAAGTGTACTATGAATTCGCACATTTATTTCTGCACACCATAAGTTCAGACATTCAGATAATTATAATAAATCGGGTGGGGGTGGGGGGTTGGGGGTCGCTAATTGTAATAATAGGTCCATCGACGATACGAATAATTATATCGACACGTTTCTTATCTAATACTCAATAATTCTTAAGTATTGGTCGGAAATAAAATAAATACATAGCGCATGTGTTTAAATATATCTTCAGGAACTTTTCTTGCGACGTCAAGGGGAGTCATCTAATTTTCACATATTTTTCTATGTGCCTGCGCTCTTTTTGTCGTCGCATGCTCGCACTAGAGTTCAACAAGCCGCAAAATATAGAAGCGAATAATTAGACATTTCTATTTAACAATTAAATTAAAACAACGAACGAGCGCAATCGTCAGAATGACAAAATTAGTGTTTGTCAGTGAGTGTACGTGCTCCACTAAAAGTATAGTCTTTCTGCGATGATACCGCTAATTCTCTTTCACATTAACACTGTTCCTACTTTTGACAAAAGACACCTTCTGAAATCTTTGCTTAAAATTATTATTATTATTATTATTATTATTA